AGCTGTCAGTAAGCAATATGAGCCGGGCATGAGAAGTAATGGAGATTCAGAAAGTGGTGGTTTTGAACCAAGGGGCAGTGGTGGCCGTGAGCATGATGCTTCAGGAGTTAATTCAGAAGGCGAGCGAATATCAGATCGATCAGCAGGTAATGAAAGCACTAAATCTGATGTCACAATTGATGATGTTGCAGACTGCGAGATTCCCTGGGAGGACATCACCTTGGGTGAACGTATTGGACTTGGTACTGACCTCTGCATTATGCTATAAATATTGTACTTCTCATATCTAAACAAAAATAGTCTAAATGGTGTTCTGTCCCATACTCAAATTCTAATTTCATATGTTCATGCACCCTGGATACTGCAGGATCGTATGGGGAGGTCTATCATGGAGACTGGCATGGGACTGTAAGTTTTCAGATGCTCTTCCTAAAAGTTTAGCCATTGCGGTATTGTCTGCTGTGGGAGTTTTGAGCTTATTTTCGTTATTTGGTTTTGCAGGAGGTTGCTGTGAAGAAGTTTCTAGACCAAGACTTATTGGGCGAATCACTTGATGAATTCAGAAGTGAGGTAAAAGCTTCGGCCTTCGTCCATCTCATGAATTTTTTTGTGTTTGATCATTTTATGGCATCAATTCATGCTATTTCCTTGCTAAGAAGGTGGCACTGAAGGAAAAAGTTTGTTTGAGAGGGAGAGGAGTGGAGCAGTACGCTACTTAACATAAGAATTATTTCCACTTTTTATATAAATGTAGTTAAAACTTTGTAGGGACCACCATGGTTCGGTTATCGCTTTAGGTGTTCTAGATTCGTGTAGTTATAGTGAATGAAGTAAATAGTTCTCTCTCTCCCTGGTGTAACATTGTATCATTCTATGTACTTAGGCAGCAGTTGGTTGCTGGAATAAACATTAAAATGTTATGGAATCACAATTGCATTGGAATGGAATTGATGTTTAGGAAGTTAGAGGGTAAAGTAGAAATATTGTCCATGTTTAATGTGCTTTCCTGAATCATTCCTTCAAATATTGAGGTTAATCTTTTATTTGTAAAATTTGAAGGTTCGGATGATGAAAAGACTCAGGCATCCTAATGTTGTTCTCTTCATGGGTGCAATAACTCGCGCTCCAAATCTTTCCATTGTTACAGAATTTCTTCCAAGGTATTCCAGAACTTTCATTTTCTCTTTTTATGAAAACGTTACTTTCGACATCTTTGATGGATTCAACTCATATTGACGTCACTAATAGTTCTTGATTCTTAATACTGTACGAGTACAAGGAGCTTCTTTGCCTTGAGAATGCAACCATTTTTTTTCCCTTCAAAACGCAAGTACCTTCACGAGGATTGGATTTTATTGTATTTTCTTTTTAACTATTACCCTCAGTTTCTTTGAAATAGGTAATATTAATATTTATTTGGAATCATAGTCTGGCTGAAACAAAACACAGCACTGATTTTGTGTTTTTTGTCTTATAGAATTCTGTTGTTTTAATCTTGGTCTATATATTTATGTATATAAGAAGTTTAAGAACTGCATTGTGTTGATTTGATTAATTAATTATTTTCATGCGTTATTAATAGACGTCATATTTTGCAGAGGTAGTTTATACAGGTTATTACACCGGCCTAACAATCAATTAGATGAGCGGAGGCGCTTGAGGATGGCTCTTGATGCTGTAATATTCTCTTGTTCCTGCGGTTTATTCCAGTATGAGCCAACAATCATGTATTGTGATTGATAACTTCATCTAGCTTAACTTATTTTTTCAATGATTAAATTTTCAGGCTCGCGGAATGAATTACTTGCATAACTGCACTCCAGTAATTGTACACCGTGATTTGAAGTCTCCAAATCTTCTTGTCGATAAGAACTGGGTTGTGAAGGTGTGTTTCTTATCTCTTTGGCGAAATTCCTGAACACCTTTAATGTATATTTAGAGATCAGTTTGGTAGTATGTGAAGTTTTCTGTTTGCTATTAGGTCTGTGACTTTGGATTATCACGAATGAAGAACAGCACATTTCTCTCCTCGAGGTCGACTGCAGGGACGGTAAAGCCCTTACTCAACAACTTACTCTTTCTCAAATGTTGCATATGTTTGATATTTTAAATCTTGAAACTTATATCTTCAGGCTGAATGGATGGCTCCGGAAGTGCTAAGAAATGAACCTTCGGATGAAAAGTATGCCCATATCTCCCCGCCAAATGCTTTATTATATATATTTAACTTTTGTAACCGTAGCTGGTGTTTTACTGATATATATAAATTTGGTTTACTGTGCAGATGCGATGTTTATAGCTATGGGGTCATTTTATGGGAGCTCTTTACGATGCAACAGCCATGGGGAGGAATGAACCCAATGCAAGTTGTTGGTGCAGTTGGATTTCAACATCGCCGTCTTGATATTCCAGATAATATAGATCCTGCAATTGCAGATCTCATTCGAAAATGCTGGCAAACGTGAGTATACTTTCGGAATCTTTTTTTCTTGTTTGATTTTGATAATTGTAGTCTGTCATTTGTGAATCAGTTCAAATGTGTATTTAGGCAGATGAACAAACCTTACATTGAACCTAATTAACATTGCAGGGATCCAAGATTGAGACCGTCGTTTACTGAGATCATGGCAATTCTGAAACCGTTGCAGAAGCCGATAGGTAGAAGTGGACAGACCTAGTGCACAAGTAGGCAGTGGCTACAAGAAGGTCCAGCCATCCTGCGTCGGAGAATCCCCAGCTGGCTGGCTGAAACAGTGAATATCGGCTCGTTTGACAGCCAAAATATGGATGAAGGCAAGTCGTACATTTGATTGGAACAGCTTCTGAGAAAGATTGAAGATCATGACCTAACCTATACTCCAATTTTCGTTTTCGTTTTCTTTTTGCTTTTTCGGTTTCCTCCTCGTTTCTGTATTCCCAACAGGGCGGCCATTCGCAAGTTGTGCATTTGTTTGTAAAGAATTCATTGGCAATTGGTGTAATCAATGTTTTGATTTCCGGTGTCCGTCGATCGGAAGAGTTTCTTGTTGCCTGAACCTTAAGGTGAAAAATCAATAGCGTGCTTAATGCAAATGGAGAATTACTGACAAATTGACATATCGAATCCAAACAATAAAGTCTTTTCCTACTAAGTGGGGTTAGCTATATGAATCCTAAAACTACTGACAAATTGACATATCGAATCCGATATACAAAATATCATTTGTACAACATTTGGCGGCCGCGTTGCTTATATTAGAGAAGTGGCCAGATTAATAACGTTATATGTACTTCATTCAGTGACAACGTTGCTTACCACCTATTTAATAGAGTTAAGCCGTAATCATATTCGCAGAATTCGTATGTATCAGAGAGACGGTCAGCAATGTAATAAAAAAAGAGGCTTGTAGTCAAAACAGAGAGAGGGCAACCCACCATTTAAATTTTCCATTTATCTCCTTCTGTAGTTCTTCCCCATTTATCTCCCACTCTCTAACAAGACCAAACCACTTCTCTCCTTCCTCAGCACAAACGCCGCCGCCTCCGCCACAAAATCTTCCTCCACAACCGCCACATTCTCCGACACCAATTCAGCAGCTCAGCACAAGTTCATCCGAGCAGCCGACGACGCCGGTAAAAGAAGAGCAGCAAAAGCCATCCAAGACCAAAACCAAGGCAGACTCCACAGACTGGATAGCTTCCACGTTGACCAGAAGGTTTGGGATTGGTGCTGGCCTTGCTTGGGCTGCCTTTCTCACAGTTGGTGTTGTCTCTGAGCAAATTAAAACCCGCCTTGAAGTCTCCCAACAAGAATCAAACACAAGGTTTGTAAATATATGTATATATACATATATCATACATGTCCAAATTGTATAATTTCATTTGATGCAACAATTTTGTGTTTTTGCAGAAATGTTGAGAAAGAAGAAGAGGTGGTGTTACCTAGTGGCATAAGGTACATTTCTCTCTCCCTACATACATAATGTAGCTATCATGGCAAATGACATGCACGTAATCACATCAGAACTTTGAAGTTAGGCGTGTCCAGGTGAGAGCAGTACTAGCCGAGTAGGGTGGGTAATTTCTCATGTTACCTTCCCTTTTAGAAGAGCTAAAAACAATTACGACGAGTGTTTTCGATAATGACGTTAGAAGAACTTACGAGCATAAGCGGATTTACATAAGTAGTTCCAAACGGACCCTAATTAAACATATGCATTTTCGAGCGCAGATACTACGAGTTAAAAGTCGGCGGCGGAGCTATCCCGAGGCCGGGGGACTTGGTGGTCATCGACCTGAAGGGCAAAGTAGAAGGCAGCGGACTGGTGTTTGTGGACACATTTGAGCGGGAGAAGAAGCCATTGGCTCTGGTGGTGGGGTCCAGGCAGCCTTACAGCAAGGGAGTATGTGAAGGGATAGAGTATGTGATGAGATCCATGAAGGCAGGTGGCAAAAGGAGAGTGGTGGTTCCTCCAAGCTTGGGGTTCGGAGAAAATGGTGCAGATTTGGGTCCTGGTCTGCAAATTCCTCCTTCTGCAACCCTAGAGTATATTATTGAGGTTGATAGAGTCTCAATTGCACCTGCATGAGGAGGATCATTCATTCTTTTCTGTGTTAATTGTATATTTTTTATATTGCTAAAAGGAAAAAATGTGTAATAAATAATTTGGGTTCTTATTTTTGTTGATTATGTATTGTCTACAAGTTGGTTACGTGTAGGGTTCAATTTAGATTGGGTACGTCCGGAACACAGTTTAATACATTAAGTGTCATAATACAAATGATTATATATTTGAAAAAAAAAGTTCAACCACTTATATTATGACAATTAGCATACGTAATCACATTAAAAAAAATTCTCGGATTGGAAAATTCCGATTTCAACCAATTTCGAAAAAAAAATGTCATCCATTTCCTATCAAAAAATTGGACAGGAAATTGATGACATTTTAAACTTTAAAACAGAATATTTCCTTTTTAGCTTCTTAGAGAGAGAGAGAGAGAGAGAGAGAGAGAGAGAGAGAGAGGGAGGGAGTAATGGTGTTAAAATTGCAGCCACAAACATTTTCCTGTTGTATTGAATTTTCAAAGAGCTTCCTTTCCACTTTTGATATATCAGCAGCAGCAAGCAAAGAATAGAGCTTTTTGTTCAGAAGCAAAATCCCAGAACAATTTCCATGGGAAAAGTCTTGGATTCCAATTTCTTAGCTCTCACTGCCATTGTCACTGTAATTATCTCTCTCTTCCTCTCTCTGTCTCTCTCCCTAAAGCTTTCTTCTTTTTTGTTCTGCATGCTTGTTTTCCTATTAGATTCATTTCTCTCTCTATAATCTCTGAAATATGGTGTTTTTTTTTTTTTTTGGTTGATGAAGGTGGGGTATCAGTTGTTGTTCTTTATAATCACTGCTCTTCTCAAGTTCGACAAAGTCACTGACTTTGCTGGTAATTCATCCCTCTGAATTTATTTCCGGACAATTTGATAGTTAATTAACTTAATTTCCTGCTTATCAATACTAATTAGAAACTGATTGGATTGTTTGGTCGCCAAGAAACGCTGTGACTGGATTTTGATACATTTCTGATTATTTTGTGTGTGTAATTATATTTGTTCTTCTTTTCACCTTTCACAGGAAGTACCAATTTTGTTATACTTGCTATTCTGACTTTGGTTGTGAAGGGGTCATGGCATTTTAGACAGGTATTGTATTATTAATTTCTTCTCAAAAGTGTTTAATTTGCTCGTAGATCGCGTTGATACTGGATAAAGAAAATCTTGATGTTTTTGTTTTCAGGTAGTGTTGAGTTTGCTTGTGATAATATGGGGTCTTCGCCTCGGGTTGTTCCTACTGATGAGGTATTTTGTGATGCTTTTTGTGTTAATTCGGCATACTTGAGGCACTACCACATGAGTATGGAGTATAACATTACCTATATCGAAATCCAATCGCAATTTTAATACACAAAACGTTTCCTGATCAGGATTTTGCAATGGGGAGAGGATCGGCGTTTTGATGAAATGCGTGGTAATATAGGGAAGTTAGCAGTTTTCTGGATATTTCAGGTTCTCTTGCTTTCCCTGTTTCCGGCTTTTATTGTGCATCTTTGCGTTGTGCTTGTTCTCGGAAGGATAAAGTTGATTTGATTCTTAAAGCAACCTGATTTTTCTGCAGGCTGTGTGGGTATGGACTGTGAGTTTACCTGTAACAGTTGCTAATGCAAGCAACAGAACACCATCGCTCCAAGCTGCGGACATAATTGGATGGGTTATATGGTTTGTCGGTTTTTCAGTTGAAGCTGCAGCGGATCAGCAAAAACTGACATTCAAAGGTTCTCCACAAAATAGAGGAAAGTGGTGCAATGTCGGGCTATGGAAATACACTCGCCATCCAAACTATTTTGGTGAGGTTAGTATCGAAAAGTTCTTCACAAACGTTTTTAATTGATTTTTTGCGTCCTCCATCGTATGCTTGCATTGTCTGCCTCACATATTTACAAATTATCCCATAACAAGAGTCACAATTGCATCGAAACATCCTTCATCCAACAAATTTCGACATGTTAGTAGCCTTGCATTCATTCTGTCAAAGTTAAATGAAACCTTGATAAATGTTGTTGCTCAGATATTCCTTTGGTGGGGAGTGTTCATTGCTTCCACGCCTGTATTGAAAGGTGCAGAGTGGCTGGTGATTTTTGGACCGATCTTTCTCACGTTGTTGCTTCTTTTCATCAGTGGCATACCAATGCTTGAGGTTTGCTTCTTCCCCTTTCTTCTGAGCTCATTGCAAATTCATAGCACTTGAAGAGTTGTAACTGACAATGTCGGGTTGAACAATAACAGGACTCTGCAGATAAGAAGTTTGGAAACGTGGACGAATACAGGCTGTATAAAAGATCGACTAGGTAAACTTCAGCTTTTCTTTTGGTATTTGTTTTTCGAGTATGAACTGTAATAACTGAAGACCAACATATTTTGTTTCAGCCCTCTGATTCCGCTATCTCCGGTTATATACAAGAACTTGCCATTGTGGTTCAAATCGACTTTTCTCTTTGAGTTTCCTCTCTACAGTCGTAATCTTCCTCGGGAAGAGCCAAACTGGTGAGGCTACAATCTGTTCGAAGTTATATAGTGTTGAGTTCATATATTTGCTTTCCATAATCGTAACACGAGTCTTCCACACATGGAAAACACTTAAACAAGAAGCAATTTAAACACACGATCAGCGCGCGCTTACATTCTACGAGTGAAAGAAGTCGGAAATCAACAGTCTAAAGTATCAATAGGAAGAAACCTTTTGGAAAATCAGGGTTTGAAACTGTGTTCTGGTACGAAAACGAGTGATCTTTATACTTGTGCATTGTCGTTTTTGCTAGCATTATGTTTTCATATGCCAAACTGTTTGTTTTAACTTGTAAGACGTTTGCCATCTGTGCAAGGTGTAGAACAAGCCCGGTAGAACGAAGAAGCGACGGATTGAAGATTGGCTAGCATACTATTCTTATGTAATACTTCGACTCCTAACGATTGTATACGTTTATTAGGTGAAGTATAATACTACAGTTGAATGGAATATAGACTTATTTCTCTTCTTTGAAAGAAGCAATATCGTAATCTTATCTAAACTACGGAGATAGGAATTCGAACTCGGGTGTACAGGTGGACTCGCTGCCCCAGCCAAACTTGACTACCCCTATATTCACTAAAAACGACTGGGATCGTATGAACGAAAGAAAAAATAAATAAAAATACAAACAAATTATACTGTACTATACACCAGCAGTGTTGTTAATGTTTTCCAAGGATATGACAGACCCGGATTTGATCTCATTTGACGCTTGGGAATGGGACATTAGAATGTAAATAACCCACAAGTGAAGGCACAAGAAGTAAATCCCGGACCATATTTTCGCAGTCGGATTCCTCCTCAAAAACACTACTCCGGCCATGAATAAAGACTCCAATTGCTGAAGTGCTGAACCCAGGTGCTTCCTGCCCGACCGGATTCTGTCTTCGAATAAAGGTCTGCCTGATTCTATGTCCCTTGATGAGGTAGCGGAAAATTCGGTCAATGACTTGCTTTCATCTAGCAACCTTGAGACAGCCTGCATAATGCATAAATTTAGTACTGTCCCTCGGATACATCATCTTGCGGATTAAAGTTTCACCACAAAAGAGTTATCGGTATAATTAACGTACCTCCATTCTGAACATAAGAGTTGCCTTCTCTGAGGAGAGAGCCTCAACCTGATTTAGGGTTTAGGGTTTAGGTAACCAGATAAAACCTCTCACTTAAATGACCAAGGGAATTAAGAACGGGGTTCGAATGACAAACCTGGGCTTGTTTATGAATCAAATGGTCAGTCATCTGAGCAAGCCTTCGCTTGAGCTCAATTTCTATATTTGTTGGATCCTCTATCTCTTTCCTTGTGAATTCAATGTTTGCTTCCAGCTTCTGTGCCTGAAACATAACACGTAATTTATCTTGTGAATAGTTATATCACAACATGAGGGCAATATATGAATCATCAAACAGTTCTATCAGGAAACAACATTTAATCAATGCCGTCAAAGGCTTTAAATCATAAGCTTATTATAGTTCAAGCTCTATCTCTTCACACTATTCTATCAAGTTAGCATCCCATCCAAAGTAAGTATTAACACACAAAGAGCGAACGGGGGAAAGACATAATGGATCAGTAGTTAATAAACTATCACAAGTTTTCAATATTATGGTGAAATTCTCTAACCTTATCTTGCAATCGCACAACTTTATCGGTAACAAAGGCATACTCTGCCTCCAAAATCTCTCGTTCAAGTTCAATTCCTTTTGACGCTGCCATTTTCTTTAGAGATAATTTTGTTTGATGAGTGTCGGAGATCTTCCTTCTGAGCTCTATAAGAAGAAAAAAGAGTTCCACGTAATGATACACCAAACACAAACATTGATTTCAACATTGATAATTTAGTTTGATAAGTGTCGGAGATCTTCCTTACTTCATGAAATTATTCACTGCTTTGCTATATAAAGTCAATATGAGGCCAAAAAAGAAGTTGGTCTATTCTTAATCTACTAAGTAATATCTCATAAATTCAAGCACACTTCATCAAAACACAAATTAAGATCGTTAAGGGGGATTAGTTAACCAAACCCTGTGACTATTGTTCACAGGGGACTGATCAGAACATTTATTATACTTAAATACTTTAGCAAGAGGTAGCCCTCGAGATCAAATTTATGTATGAAAATGAAAATAAAATAAATAAATTTAAAGAAGTTTTCTGGCTTCCACACCCAATACATTAGTTTGCGATTCTAGAGAACCTACCTTCCTGGTTCACTTCTTTTAACTCAATTTGCTGTCGAAGTTCTGCTACCTGATTCACCTGGACTCCCAAAAGAATAAAAGAAGAAAAAGGGAAACATTTCAGCAGGACTAAAATACAAAAACAATAGTATTGAGAAGTAAGGCAAAGCACACGAGAAGCATTTCAAATTCCCAAAAATTTAAATGAAAGACAAGAAGGAATGATTTTAAGCAAAGGAACGATTTTTACAGTATGATTTCATCCACCATTTTTGAACCATCAAGACAATTTAACCACCTGGACAACTATATTGCTCAAAACTTCAATTCAGAAGATTATAAAATGTCCATAGGACCACATCAATCATCTAAATCAGGATACAATCATACCTCTACTTGAAGATTCCATTGAACATTGGCTAGGGATTTTGCAAGGTCTGCATTTGCAGTCTGCAACCAATTTTAACCTTTAGTAATAAAAAAATATTCCTAAATATGAGCACGGACTAAAAAGGTCAACAAAAAGGGAAATTCATACTTCTAGACGTAGCGGTAAAAAATATGAACTCAGACTGAAATAGAATATTTTTCTAATACGCATAAGAAACAGATGGAAAAAGGTTGTAGTACCTCCAGTTTAGCCAACCGCGCAAAGGCTTCCATTCTAGTGTTGTTATGTTTCTGCTTTTCTAAATCAGCAGCTTCCATGGTTTCCATCATAGTCATTTGCAGCTTTGAAGCCTGAAGCAGAAGGTAAATTTAAGTAATAACATTTTACGCAATATGATATAGACCTTCAATTTCCTAAGATAAAACAAAATGAAAAAAATAGGATTAATGCAGCCAACCTAGGAAGAATGATAAGAACAAAATCCTAATAATCTTATTCTTACCTCTTGTGCTTGTTGTTTCACTTGCTCTTCAAGTATTTTTTCCAAGCTCTGCTTCTCGCCCTCCAATCTGGCAACAATATTTTCCCTCTCTTTGATGGCCTCCACGGCTTTAGCTGCCGCTTTCTCCGCCAGAATCTTCTCCCTCTTCTTTCTCCTTTCCTCCTTTTCACGCTCACTCTCGGAATCAAAACTTGAACCTGAGTCTGTGTCCGACTCAGAGCTCCCATCAGTTACGGAAGTAAAACCTCTCTTTAAATCATCAGAGGTAGAACTTCTAGAGGCTTCATTAGACTCATGCTTTCTCAACCGATCACCCACATTCTCCCCTTCTAGCTTCTTATTAGAAACCCCATCGTCCTTCTTTACTGAATGTAAATTACCCTCGGAAGAAAGCTCCTTAATATCAAAACGCCCACCATTTTCCTCATTTCCCTTATCTTTTGTTTCCTCCAAAGTGTTTAAACCCACATCTCTAAAATCCAATTCTCGTCCTTCCAAAATCTTACCATCACGCTTCAACTCAACACGAGAAGACCTCTCCGGTGTATCTGAAACAGAAAAGCCAGATTCCTTCCCATCACTTACCTTCGCATTCAACTTACTTCCTTCCCCAACACTTGCCCTCCGCGGCGTCTTCACAATATTATTACCACCACTCTTTTGACTCCTCTTAGCCTCCAAAACCGACAAACTCGATGTGGAACTGGCACTGCCCTGCCTCCTACCATCCTTCCTCAGACTACGAACCCCGGGGAAACCATTGCCACGCCTCGCGGCAGAAGTAGTTCCCCGATTCGGTGTACTACTAAGGAGTTGAGTCCAGTCACTATCAGTAAGACTCTTCCTTGGTTTCGGAATTCCAACAATCTCTCTATCCCTATTACTATTACCACTACTACCATCATCATTAATGTTAATGTTGTTACTAACAATGCTTAAGCTCGGATCGCCGGTTAATTTTCCGCGATAATCGCTAATTTGATTTTCTAGGGTTTTCTTCTTCAACTGATCCTTCAAAGGCACACTGCCCCCCGCTTTCGTCGGAGTTTCCAAGCTCAATTCGTCGGCGATCTGCTTCTCGTTTTTCCGCAGCGACTCCGCAGCTTGCTGATCGATCTGAACCGTCCGTTTCACAATCACACGGATTTTACATTACTACTCCAAACATATAGAACTCAAAAATCAAATAACACCAAATTAAAAATTAAAAATTAAAAATTGCAGATCGACTTGTTTGTTTCGAAGAATTAAAAAAAAAAAATTTAAGACTTTTTTTAATTTAATTTTCGTTTAATTCTATAGTTTTCTGGATTGGGAGGAGAAGGAGGAGAAGAATTGAACCTGTTGGAGGAGAGTTTCGGCGGCTCTGAGCTTGGAGGAAATCCAGTCCGCCATTGTCGTTCTAGTTCAGCGAAACGCAGCGTTTAGTATTTCTCGAGAGAATCGAAGTGCATTGTTGGCGAAACGCAGCGTTTAGTATTTGCAGAGGATGAAGGAAGAGGACGGAGGAGGAGGAGGAGGAAATGGGACGGGAGAACGAACGATGTGAGTGAAAGGAGGAGGGAGGAGGGAGGAGGGTGGGAAATGAGAACGCCCGAGTGACGGGCGGGTGACGATGTGAGTTATTGGGCCGTTAGATTTCGGGTGACCGGTACAGATTGTTTTGTGGGTCCCGCTGGGTTAAAGCGATGGGATTAAAGCGGGAAGGAGACTTAACGCCCGCGTTGGACAACGACCGACCAGCTAACGTTTGGTCGTTTTGGGCTGTTTGGTTGCGGTTTATGGTCTCTCAAAGGGTGAGCCCAACTAGATAAATTAGGGTTGGGCATACCGGTCTTTGGATTCCTAGATTCGAATTGGACCACTCAGCCCAACTAAAATTATTCGGTTCTTATTTTTAAATTTCAAAACTGTCTAAATTGGACTCGCTTGTGTAAAACCGCTTCATAGTTTTTTGTTTTGTTTTTCAAAAATTTTAGAGGGAGATTGGTTACTCTTGCAACCAGCGCTACGACATATACTTGAATTTCGAACTTGAAGGACTTATACGTGGCATCTACTACCAACCGCCACCGGTATGGATTTACGTAAGCATTTACATGCACACCAACGATGACTGCTGGCAACACATAATACATATATCATGAAAATTCATGTATACTTTTAGGTTACACTAACTAATTTGAGCAACAATAACTAGATTTTTTAGTAGCCGTAACTTCAAGATCATCACCAATATGGATGGTTTCTGTCGCACCACCAAGACTTCTACTCGCGGCACTCGTTTCTTCCACTTTTGCTTCCAAAATCTTTTGCCTAGTAATTTCATGAATCTTATAAACCATATCCAAAAACACTTGCTCCACGTTCACGTTCTCTAACGCAGAAGTTTCCATGAAGCACAAGCCTTCTGCCTCTGCTAAACTTTTGCCTTCTTCCTCGTCGACCTCTCTAGACTGGCTCAAGTCCGACTTGTTTCCGACGAGGACGATGACCATGTCGGAGTTGCCAAATCCGCGAAGCTCCCGCAGCCAGTTTCTCACGTTTTCGAAGGATTGTCTCGCGGAAATGTCGTACACTAGAATGGCGCCGAGCGCCCCACGGTAGTATGAGCTCGTGATTGCTCTAAATCTGCATTGATAAATCAAAGTATAATTAACTGCCACTAGTCCATAAGCATAAATATATCGCTTTTGACTTTAGTAATTAGTACTTATAACAAAAACGTTAACTATTGCAAAAGTGTGCTCTTTGTTGGAAATAATTATGCTTATAAGTGCTTCTATAAGAAGTGATTTCATTACGAACACGTCCAAGTGCTTCTTGTAAATGCATCCTGAAGAAGCACCTAATATAGTTTGTAAACACTTATAAGTTTTTCAACGCAGTCAAAAGGGTATATTATTTTGCAAGCAAATATTAGTGGAAGGGGAATCAAATCTATGATTTTATGTGCAAAAGATAAATATCCTTAATCACTTAAACTACAAGTCTATTACATTAAAAAATGTTTTAACCCTATTATAAAACAATCCCAAACAAACCAGCATGGTGTAGTTCACACTCATAGTATCTTGTTTTATTAATGCATATCATTTGCATGGTCTGTTTTATTTAATTTAAGGACGTTACGTATTACATTGTTCGATGCATAAACCTTTTTCTACCACCTCAAGAATCCAAGATTAAAAAAGTTAACTTGAGCAGATGAAAAGCATGAGACTACTAGCCCGTTCCCTTTTAAAGAACAAAAAATAATGAAATTAGGGTAAAATACCCTAATTGGCGGCCATTTTTACCCTAATTAGCGGCCACCCAATGGTTAATCACGTAATGACAAAGACGTCCAACAAAACAAATAAAAGGAATCAGATTAACGAACTCCAAACTTTGAGGCAAATAGTCCACTAAGAATTTTACTTTAAGAGAGTTTCCTTATCATTTATCTTCTCAATTAAATTTGACGAAAGAGAAGTATAATTTGTATTTTGTATGTAAAAGGGCCCCACTTAGGAGTATAATTACAACTTTAGACGTTAATGGGACCAAATCATGAAAGGGAAGGCACGGTTGGACAGTTGTGTTTGTATCCATAATCCAGTTGCTTCAAAAGATGGACAAACTTGAAAACATCTTTAAACTAAAAAAATATAATAAAATTAAAAAAACAAAAGAGAAGAACATATGAAAATTAGGGAAAACTAATCACATAGGAAAATAATATTCAACTTAATAAAAATTCTACATAAACGGGGCGAAGAATGTCGTTCTATCTATAGCGGATATAAACGGAAAAAAAACATAAACATGAAAGCGCTTGGAAGCGGATAAAATGAGAATTGACTAACATACAATTTCAGAATGACGCATGATGTTCTAAACCAATAATAGAAGATGAGAGTTTTTCCCAAAGACTATGATCAAATGAAACACGATCAAAATTAAGAAGATGAAGCGAGGCAGGCATACCTTTCTTGACCGGCAGTGTCCCAAATTTGAGCCTTGACAAGTTTATCAGCGACCTTGATATTCCGGTAAGCGAATTCGACGCCGATGGTGGGCTTGGAATCCAACCGGAATTCGTCTTTGGAAAACCTGGACAGCAAATTTGATTTGCCAACTCCGGAGTCTCCGATCAAAACTGCCTTAAACAAGTAATCACACTCTTCATCGATCGAATCACCCATCAACATGTATGCTAATTACTTGACGACCCAATAAGAACAAGTTAAGAAAACTTCGAAACGAATTGGAAAGAAGCAAAGCAAAAGGAGAGGTGGAGGAAGAGACGTTTATGTTGAAATATAATATACATACACACACACACACACATATACATATATATATATATATATATAGATGGATAGGTTTTTGGGATTGTTCATTTGCTTTTGGAGGGTAATGAGTCCTTACATGTGAAAACGTTGAAAACGACATGATGAGTGCTTCCTCAGGCTGTCGAGGTTAGCGCGTGTCATTAGCACACGCTAAACAAACTTAATCTTTAATTCACCTCAAGTTTTTCTTCTACACAAATTACAACAGATAATGTTAGCGAGAAATAATTATACAAAAATATCAGTTATAGTGAAATAATTGTTCAACTAATATACAAAGTCGTAGTTTTAGTGAAGAGATATTTGTTGTTGCTCTCAATCTATTGAAAGTGTCCTCGTAAATTGGGAGTTAAAACATAAAATGATATTGAAGTCATCGCAACTCTAAGTATTTACTATTAAGTAACAGATAATTACGTAAAAATTCAGTAGTCAGTAACCGAAATCCTTAAAATATTTAGTTACCTTCAGTTGAGTGCCGGAAGTCCATCACGAATCCTCAAAATTGTATTGCTTTCCCTCTAAATTTTAATGCGGAGAGTCCATCATGTTGTCTTTTTGTCTTTCTTTCTTTTTTTTTTGGTCAAAAAAGCAAGCAATTTCCTTAAAAGATGACACTAGCGACCACAAAGGTAGTCGACCAAATAAAACAAACTCCGTGTAGAATTCAACGAAGGTGTCGCAGCGCAAAAAAAAATATCAACCTACAACAAGAAAAGAGCCAACAGACTAATATTCATTTGACATGTTACATGTGATTAGATTTACATGTACTTGGTACAACAATGGATTGAGGCCTTACATGAAGCCCATTCCGTTTGTGGGCTTCAATTGGACACAACGGACACAAGCCTATCTGAATTGTTTTACTTATTTCCTTTTGTTCACAAGAATTGAAGGGAAAATCTTTGATCTGCGACTGCAACCACCCAAAATGATTATTTATTTACAATAAAATTATTCAGACATACAAAATTAACATCATTTTATCGCACAAAATCATCGTATTTGCTGCAAAACTCTTTAGTAGAAGTGGACTCTACAACTATGTGCGAATAATTAAAAGGGTATTAACAAGTGCTTCAGAATATATTAAAGAGTACGTTAACAATTGAATTGGTTTTATGCGTCTCAATACAATTACATGTTAATTTAGTTGAATCAAGAAATGGTTGCCTGGCTGGTGTCCTACCGTCGAAAACTTTGGATGAGATATGGAGATACATCCAAATTGATGGCCACGTTAGCCCCAATTCCATTCATATCCAAATCCATAACGGCAAGTTCTCATTTCAAAAAAAATGGATCAGCTAATGGCCAAGTCACGATGGTTCATTTTCTTAGAGGTCTGAAATACTTATAGATGTATTTTAGTCTCTTTTTTACTGTCATCATATGATTTATTGGCATTAAGAATTAAATGCAAGACGAATCGTGTAGAATACGGATCTAGAATTCGTTCCAATCAATAATAGTAAGTTCAAAAAACAAATTTGGTAATATTATGACGTTATCGTATCTTCACCGAAGAAATGGATTGTTGATGTTTAAGAAAAACTACAATATTTTTTTGGAAAAAGAGGACCACATTCATTAAAAATGGTCCTCCTCCTGCGCGGTTATTTTTGCGGTAAGGCTTAAATTTTGGCCTCGTTGCACTGCAACCTCAACTTGCAAATCAAACCTATCCTTTGAAGTGGAACCACTACGATCAATTTGGTTCACGGATTAGAGGCTTGAGAATGGGTACAAAATTCCCTTTCGATTTGGATCGTAGAACAGAGGGGCTATTTTTTTATTTTTTTTGTCTGTGATTCGAGAAGACTTAATTATGACAAATTTCATACCAAGAAGAATGTGTGGAGTTTAATAAGATCAACATAAACGTATGTTATGTTTTTGTGAAAAATGTCTTATGAATGACGTAGTTGACCATCTCTACTCAAAATTTTTAACTCCGTCTGAATTGGCAACTTAACCTAAGCGGTCGGACCTAAGAATTTCTCTTAAGATAGAGCAAAATATTTAGGCGAAATTCTATTGTACTTCTACGAGCGACATGCATTGGTACAATAAAGCGTTGAATGTGCGAATAAAAATCTAACGGCCAATTTCTCTTAAGATAGAACAAAATATTTAGGCGAAATTCTATTGTACTTTTGCGAGTGACATGCATTGATACAAATTTAAAACGTTGAATGTGCGAAAAAAAATATAACTGCCAAAGATTCAGGCGCAACTTATAATTTAATACATACAAAAGAATATAGGAGTAGGGTCATAATTCCTAAAGTTTTGGCAACTTGGCAGCCCAACCACCGTCTGAGAGTTGACTCGTCAACGTGCCTTCTCATTGCGCCATTGACGCCTACATCTCTCCCACCACCCCCACTACTACACTAGCTCCGCCGCCGCCCACCACCTTCGGCCGCCAAAAACTAACTTATTTCTTCCCGTATTTTCACATCAATATTCTCAAAAAGCAAATCAAATCAAATCAAAAGGGAAACTAATAGCGCAGTAACATTCATTCAACCAAAAGGGTCCAAGCGAGAGAGGATTTTCTCGAGAAACAAACAGAAAATAGAGGGAAATGTGATACGATTTCGAGCAAATTAACCACAATATAATCACAAAAACTACACATATTAAAGAGAAGGATGAGATCAGATCCCATTTTTCGATATCCACATCCAGTTGATGATCTAATCTACACGTATATCATTTCCCTATATTTCAAAAGTTAAGCCCTAACTTTGTCAACTTCCAAGAGATGAAGTTCGGATTTAAAATCAGCTTCTAGATTGAGAGAGACGACTACCGTGTGGCGGCACTACACGGCGGGGTTGGCGGTGGTTCAGTTGGTGGAGACGCTGTGTCCCATCATCTTCTTGAACTCCTCGAAATTCACGTTCCCGTCGCCGTCGGCATCGACGGACTTGATCATCCGGTTGCAATCCTCGACCGTGCAGGCCATGTTGAGGCGGCTGAGCACCAGGTGGAGTTCGTTGGTGGAGATGAGGCCGTTGCGGTCCTGGTCGTAGAGATCGAAGGCGTCTTTCAGCTCGGCAGCGCCGCCGTCCTTGGAGCCGGCGACCCAGAAGGAGTTGAACTCGTCGAGGCAAATGAAGCCATCGTTGTCGGTGTCGAGATCGACCATGACGCGCTTGAGCTCGTCGCCGGAGACGTTGGAGCCGAGGGCCTTGAGGACGTTGCCGAGCTCGTTGACGGAGATCTTGCCATCGCCGTTGGCGTCGAAGCTTTTGAAGACCTTCTGGACCTCGTCGGTGACGACGGGTTTGGGGCCGGTCGAGGTTGGATGTCCGTTGGTTGCCATGGTTGCTGGAAATTTCTGGTTTTTGGGTAATTGTGTGTTCTCAGAGCTTTCAGAATTCAAAAGAGAAAGGAGGAAGTCAGTGGGTTTATATAGAAAAAATATGATGGTGGTCGGGAGACGTTAGGAGGGAAGGGACTTTTTGTGGCCACCAATAAAAATGCCGCAAAGGAAAGCGGGGAAAATTATAAAGAGAAAGAAAGGAGGACAAAAATTAGAATTTAAAAATGATAAATGGTTGAAAAGTCTGGTGGGTAATGAATGCCCACAGTACATTAGCAGAAGTTTGCAGCATGGGCATGCAAAGTAAAAGTTGAATTTGTAAATACATAGAAATTGTATTGTCAAAGGAAGTGTCGTAAGTTTCAATATGCAGTTAATGCATCGGTTTGGAGTTGCTCTATAAATAGAGCACTCCGTATATTTTCAAGTTACAGAAAATATAAGAAGAAGAGAACGAGAGAAAAATATCAATAACATCATCTATTCCTCTGCCTTTTATTTGTTATCCTCTTGTGCTATATTTTTAGTGTGACATTTAACATCTACCTTGCACCTACCATTAAAAAAGTTATCTCTCTAACTTTGACCTATTTATAACATAAATTATATTAATGACCCTTGAATTATAGTTGGTATTCCACTTTAGAGCAAGTTCACTCTTAAAAAATAAGTTGGCTAAAGTTCATTTAATCCATCGAAATGAATAGTAATTGACTTGATTGGACAAGTGCATCTCCACCTCTAAAAAATGAGCTAGTCCAAATGAACATAAAGCACTCAAAGTGTTTTTTATGTGCATATAAATACGTTTAATATTTTGTGTCAAACATGATCAGAAACTCTTTTAATTATTTTATAGAAATTCTGAATATACCTAAGTTTCATTTCATCTTAACTTCTTCTCATAACTCAGCTACCAGACTTCAAAATCTTCATTAGTTTTCCTTTTGTATACCACATTTTGTTGATGTAGATGCTCTTAAGGTTGGTCATGTGCACTGCACATTAAGAAATTGACAAAAGATTGTGAGTTGTGACGGAACGGAACTGACCGTTTGGAGATATTGGCATGAATTGAAATTTAGAGAGCTCAAAACCAAATAAAAAGTTTAGGGAGTAAATTGAAACAAAGTCACATTGTTAAAATTTTCCCTATCAGAATTGGAGTGCTAAATAGTAAATAAACGCGAAGGCAAATAAGGCAATGGAATCTGATTCCTTTGAATAAATGTTGGCGTGTGGGATCAAATTTCAAAGCGCTAACGGGGGGGCATGGGAGCTTTTATTCCACTTTCGAATTTGGGAAAGACGAAGCTCGGAGGAAAGCAGGGATTGGATATATGGTTGGATGTCAATATCTAATACTACTAGTTTGGCTTTTCCCAAATTTCTTACATCAACTAGACGTACAAATTCATTTTCGAAGCATTCGTATGCTTTATAATTTTGATCAAGTAAATATCGTCTTTTACGAAATTTAAGTTAAAAACTCTTAAATTTCAGGTAAACGAGTTATGGGGCCACTCCAACAATACTGATATTGTTCCCACTTTACCACCTGCTCAATCCGTCAGGTGTGGGACAAAATTCCCCTTCGATTTGGATCGTAGTACAGAGGGGCTTTTTTTTTTTTTTTTTTTTGTCTGTGATTCGAGAATGAAGACTTAATTATGACAAATTTCATACCGAGAAGAATGTGTGGAGTTTAATAAGATCAAAACAAACGTATGTTATGTTTTTTGTGAAAAATGTCTTATGAATGATGTAGTTGACTATCTGTACACAAAAAATTTTACTCTGTTTGAATTGGCAACTTGATCTGAGTAGTCGTACCTAAGAATTTCTCTTAAGATAAAAACAAAATATTTAGGCGAAATTCTATTATACTTATGCGTGTGACATGCATTGATACAATAAAGCGTTGAATGTGCAAATAAAAATCTAACCGCCAAGAATTTTGGTGCACCCTATAATTCAATCCATACAAAAGAATATAGGAGTAGGGTCATAATTCATGAACTTTTGGCAACTTGGCAGCCCAACCACGTTTGAACTCTGTTCATCGCGTGTTGCGCCTCCCGCCAATCACCGTCTGAGAGTTGACTCGTCAACGCGCCTTCTCATTGTGCCATTGACGGCTGCATCTCTCCCACCACCACCACCACTACTACACTAGCTCCGCCGCCGCCTACCACCTTCGGCCGCCAGAAACTAACTTATTTCTTCCCGTATTTTCACATCAATATTCTCAAAAAGCAAATCAAAAGGGAAACTAATAGCGCAATAACATTCATTCAACCAAAAGGGTCCAAGCGAGAAAGGATTTTCTCGAGAAACAAACAGAAAATAGAGGGAAATGTGATGCGATTTCGAGCAAATTAACCACAATATAATCATAAAAACTACACATATTAAAGAGAAGGATGAGATCAGATCCCATTTTTCGATATCCACATCCAGTTGATGATCTAATCTACACGTATATTATTTCCCTATGTTTCAAAAGTTAAACCCTAACTTTGTCAACTTCCAAGAGATGGAGTTCGGATTTAAAATCAGCTTGTAGATTGAGAGCGACGACTACCGTGTGGCGGCACTAGACGGCGGCGTTGGCGGTGGTTCAGTTGGTGGAGACGCTGTGCCCCATCATCTTCTTGAACTCCTCGAAATTCACATTCCCGTCGCCGTCGGCATCGACGGACTTGATCATCCGGTTGCAATCCTCGACCGTGCAGGCCAAGTTGAGGCGGCTGAGCACCAGGTGGAGTTCGTTGGTGGAGATGAGGCCGTTGCGGTCCTGGTCGTAGAGATCGAAGGCGTCTTTGAGCTCAGCGGCGCCGCCGTCCTTGGAGCCGGAGACCCAGAAGGAGTTGAACTCGTCGAGGCAAATGAAGCCATCGTTGTCGGTGTCGAGATCGACCATGACGCGCTTGAGCTTGTCGCCGGAGACGTTGGAGCCGAGGGCCTTGAGGTCGTTGCCGAGCTCGTTGACGGAGATCTTGCCATCGCCGTTGGCGTCGAAGTTTTTGAAGACCTTCTGGACCTCGTCGGTGACGACGGGTTTGGGGCCGGTCGAGGTTGGGGCTCCGTTGGTTGCCATGGTTGTTGGAAATTTCTGGTTTTTTGGTAATTGTGTGTTCTCAGAGCTTTCAGAATTCAAGAGAGAAAGGAGGAAGTGTGGGTTTATATAGCAAAAATATGATGGCGGTCGGGAGACGTTGGGAGAGAAGGGATTTATTGTTGCCGCCAAGGAAAGCGGTAAAAATTATTGAGAGAAAAAGAAAGGAGGACAAAAATTAAAATTTAAAAATGATAAATTATATTAATGGCCCTTGAATTATTGTTCGTATTCCACTTTAGAACAAGTTCTTCTTTAAAAAATAAGTTGGTCCAAAGTTTATTTAATCCATCCCAATGAATAATAATTGATTTAACTAAAGTTATTGGCCAAGTGCATCCTCACCTCTAAAAAATGATCTGGCTTAAAGTCAATTAAATTCGTATGAAAATATTATTAATTTTTTTATAAAATAATAAAAAAATTTATTTTTAATTTCGAATAGAAATTTTAACCAATCTTGTTACCTCACTTGTCATTTTCTGAAAGTACAATTTTTGTAGAAGATAGTTAGATATATATATATATTATTGTTTAATTTTTGTCTAAATTTTTAAACATTTTTTATAATTTTTTATTAAGTTAATTAATCTGGACCGTTGAATTTGAAAAAGATTGAAATCCAATCCAATAGCTCAAAAGTGGACACGTGGCCCACTGTGAGATTCTAACATTTTTTTTTTAAGTCTAGAATGCGCGCCCACGCGCAAGCCGCAAAAAAAGAATCAACCGTGTCTGACGTCTGCATGATGTTAGATAGGCCAGTTCCTCACTCAGCCCATTATGGCCCGGCCTAGAGACTGGGGTGGACTTTGGGCCGGTCTATTTTGTGGGTGGAGTGGGTTTTTCGGGTCCCAGCCTTCAAAGAAGGGGTGGACTTGCTTTTAGTCCTTTCAACTTCTGATTTTGAGCTCGTTTGAAATGCTTTTGTAAAATGCTAGTGATTTCGAAAAGAAGAACGTGGCAAGTATTTATTTCATAAACATAAAGCACTCAAAGTGTTTTTTATGTGCATATAAATACGTTTAATATTTTGTGTCAAACATGATCAGAAACTCTTTTAATTATTTTATAGAAATTCCGAATATACCTAAGCTTCATTTCATCTTAACTTCCTCTCGTAACTCAGCTAACAGACTTCCAAATCTTCATTAGTTTTCCTTTTGTATAGCACATTTTGTTGATGCAAATGTTCTTAAAGTTGGTCATGTGCACTGCACATTAAGAAATTGACAAAATATCGTGGCGGAATGGAATTCACCGTTTGGAGATATGGGCACGAATTGAAATTTAGAGAGCTCAAAACCAAATTAAAAATTTGGGGAGTAAATTGAAACAAAGTCACATTGTTAAAACTTTCCCTATCAGAATTGGAGTGCTAAATAGTAAATAAACCCGAAGGCAAATAAGGCAATGGAATCTGATTCCCTTGAATAAATGTTGGCGTGTGGGATCAAATTTCAAAGCGCTAACGGGGGCATGGGAGCTTTTATTCCACTTTCGAATTTGGGAAAGACGAAGCTCGGAGGAAAGCAGAGATTGGATATATGGTTGGATGTCAATATCTAACACTACTAGTTTGGCTTTTCCCAAATTTCTTACGTCGACTAGACATACAAATTCACTTTTGAAGCATTCGTATGCTTTATAATTTTGATCACGTAAATAATAAACTCGTCTTTCACAAAATTTAAGTTCAAAACTTCTTATATGAAGACAAAACAATCTCTGTAAAATTTAATATCCGTAGCAACACGACATAGTTAGAGGCATGGGTAACTCTATATTTATTATTCTTTACATGTTATTATGGCTTCTTCTTTTTATTGCCTAGTAAAATTGCCTTTTAACTCACTATACCTTAAAACTAGATTTGTGTCATTTTAAAATTCTTAAAATTAAGCTATTTCGCTCTATTTGCATCAATTATGTTTCATGTATGTTAAATGAAAGAGTAGTTTGGACATTTCACACCATGATGGTAGAGATGAACTATTGTGGTTAGCGAGGTATGAAATTTTTAGACTGTCTTAAACCTTTAAAATTGTCAAATTTATGCAAGTGTGGATGACAATGACGGTGAAATAATTTGATTTTGATCATTTAGAATGCACAGTGAGGCAAATTCAGATATTTTAGAATTGCGATTGAGAACAAAACATTTTGATTGGAATAAAAAGAATAAATCAAGACATTACACGTCTTCTTAAAATAAAATAAAAAGAGAGAGAGAGGGAGAGTTGCACAGTGAAGCATTCGTATGCCAATATCTAACGCTACAAGTTTGGCTTTTCCCAAATTTTTTACGTCGACTAGTCATACAAATTCATTTTCGAAGGATTGGGATGCCTTTTAGTTTTGCTTAGGTGAATATTAAATTAAAAATCTCTTGCATGAAGACAAAACAATTTTTGTAAAATATAATATCCGTAGCAACATGACATAGTCAAATGCATGGGTAACTCAATATATATTATTCTTTACATGTAATTATCGCTTTTTTTTAGGGAATTGTTATTGGCACTCCAAAAATCTTATTTTACATTCCAAATTTTCTATATTTGGAAAGAAAAATACATTTGTGATGAGTGTAGAATGAGATTTTTGGAGCGCCAATAACATTTCCCTTTTTTTATTGCCTACTAAAATTGCCTTTTAACTCACTTTACCTTAAAACTAGATTTGTGTCACTTTAAAATCCTTAAAATTGAGCTATTTCGCCCTATTTGCATCAATTTTGTTTCATGTACGTTAAATTAAAGAGTAATTTGGACATTTCACACCATGATGGCAAAGATGAGCTATTGTGGTTAGCGAGGTATGAGATTTTTAGACTGTCTTAAACCTTTAAAATTGTCAAATTTATGCAAGTGTGGACGACAATAACGGTAAAATAATTTGATTTTGACCGTTTTAGAATGCACAATGAGGCAAATTCAGTTCTAAATTTTAAAGTGAAATTAAAGACAATTTGAACCCGCAAATCAATAATTAAGCCTACAGATATTTTAGAATTGCGATTGAGAACAAATCATTTTGAGTGGAATAAAAAGAATAAATCAAGGCATCACACGTCTTCTTAAAAAAAGAAAGAGAGAGAGTTGCACAGTGAAGTGACAAGTGGCATGTTACATGGGAAGGTCGTTAAGCTCACTCTCTTGTGGAAGTATTATTTCCCGCGTCGACGCCACCACACCACGGAACTTTAAACGCGGTTTCGGTTCTGCAATTCGCAAAAGAAAATAGGATCATCAGAGCAAGCAACACAGTCGTCCTGTTCGTTTTGGGCCTTCGGAAGGGAAAGAGATTATCTTCGGATTTTTTTCTTCAAAACTCAATGATCAAATGATACGGATCTTTAAAATTTAATTTAACAGTTAAAAACAGAGAAGTTATTAAAAAAATTTGAAAGTTAAAATAATTTTTATCATTAGATTAAATTTTAAAAGTTCGGAACACTTGATCCTTGGGATTTGAAGGGAAATATTCGGAAATAATATCTTTCCCTTCGAAATGGCCCCCCAAATGTACGTTGTTCAATGTTCATGGTCATTGAGAGTAAAGAGTAGCAATTTTTCTTATTTACAAAAAAATGGTAAATGTCGGTGCTTAAAGTGATAGTATTGATGCTTTGAGCGGAATAATAGTTTTGTGTTAGAGGGATCCTTGGATTTCTGTGTTCGAAACAAGTGAATCAAGAGATTCGGAACACTCAATTTCAACCATACATCTTCTATTCGCCCATTCTATTGGCTCACTTCATAAAAACTCAAAAAATTGAACAGCTCACATCTCTTTCTCTTTATCTTAAACGATCTAAATCTCTTGGTTCGCGTACTATGAAAAGTAACCAAAGTTTATGCCTTCTTGTTGCAACTGATAAGCCCTCATGCAACCTCCCTTTCACTCCTTGCTCAGTCCATGTAAAATGGAATTATACGACGTGGGCATTGGAACAAATTAACCCTTTGCTCCTCATGATATATACAATCCTCGACCCGCCATGATTCTTGCGGCTTTGCAAAGCGAATCTATCACTTGTCCATAAGCAAAATCCTGTCACACTCTTCACCCGTGGCATATCGTCCGCAGTATGTCAAACACTTCATTAAAACGTCCTCTACACGTAGAATCAATGAGATGCCCAAAACCCTCACTCTTTACAGTCGTATCATCTTCACCTTTCATGATCTCCGGAGCTTTGAATCTTTGACCGCACATCCTCTTCTTCGTTCACAAGTTTCATATTGTGAGTAGGTCTACTCTATAATTTTCGAAAAGAAAGAGAAGATATGTATCCGGTTCTATCGCGGAATGCATACTTGATCGGAGCACTGTAAATTGTCTAGATGATCGAGTCAAATTGATTTGTTTTAGAAAAATGCTAGGGAAATCGTTTTTTCAAATGATATTTTTATAAACCACATAATGTGGTCGTTGATAGTTAAACTCATTTTTTAACATTTAAAAAAATGAATCCAACTATCAATTGTCAAATCACGTGTCCTACAAAATATAGTGTAAAAAGATATCTCTCTAGCATTATCTTTTGTTTTATAGGACGAATCATGTCAGTATTTTATAATTATTATTCTTGGAACTTTGCAGGAAGTAGGATATAATATGTTTTGTTTGATAATTATAAGCTCCGAATTTAGAAGAAAACAATGGATGGCAAAAAAATGTCAGAATGCGCAAGGAAATCAAAAAAAAAAAAAGAAGAGAAAATTTGAAATAAATCCAATTTTATAGATCACCTTTTGAAATAAGTCCAATTTTTAGTGACTTTTAACTTTTAAAATAGTTCTAATTTTTAGTTATTTTGGACCTATATCAAAAGACCCCAAAAAAGAAATACATGCACCATTTCATCTAGCTTAGAGATTCTCTTATATAACTAATGCAATACTAATCAATTGTCTCTTTAATTAATAAAACACTTTTTGAACCCGTGACAATTTAATATTAAACGATACAACTAG